ATTATAAGTATTTTTAATTCTTTGTTATACTATATAAGAATTATAATAAATCGAAATTATTTTGCATTAAAATATCAAATCTCATAGAAGATTAGAATCTTTCATCTTATATTACTGATATATGATTTTATTTGATAATATAATTTTCTGTTTAAAATAAGAGATAGTCAAATTTTAATGCTGTATTCTATTCTTGAAAGATAAAAAAAAGATATAAAAGGTTCTTTCTTTTTGATATATAAAAACTTTATGTGATCTTTTGGAATAATAATAAATATCACATTGATATTCTCTATTATTTTTTGATCTTGTATAAAATGAATATTTTTTCATTCAATATTAGAATAAATCATCCTAATAAAACTAAATTATCAAATTTCTAGATAAAAATAAATTTACTATTAATAAGCATAAGTTTTCTTTAATATTAAGAGAAGATTTACTCTATTACAGTATTTATTTCTAACAAAGTAAAGTATTACCTTGTAATTCTACATATAATGAGCTTATTTATATGATACTTCATATAAAATTTTAAAGTGAACAAAAAATTATTTATATTTTCAAAAGAAAAAATTTCCAGATACATGCTATGTAATTTTTCTTCATTTTTAAAAAAATTAGAATACAAAGTTTGATTTATTTTTAAAGCATATTATTTTTCAAATTGTGAAAAACCTGATAATCTGTAAATAAATTATGATAAATGAAACGAAACTTTTTATTTTTAATTTTCAAATATTTTGATTAATGCAATGTGTATTTCTGAAAATCATATTTAATACTTTTACAACTCTCGTATAATATTCTAAAAATAAATAAATGATGAATGTAATGATATATAACATTTGATAATTATATGTAAAAGTAGTGAGATGTAGAATTGTGAAAAAAATAATCCAAAAAAGAAAATGGCAAAACTTTCGATAAGTTTCCAACTTATCATATGTCTGATCTTAAACAGATTATTTCCCTTTGAAATTCCCTTACTGTATTTCGTTTTTCTTCTACAACTCAATTTAACTATAATTTATCATAATTTGATTTATTTTGTTCTCACTTATTTTTAATTAAAATTATTGTTATATTATTGTATTATTATATTATATATTATTATTATATTATAATAGATAATGATTAGTTCAAATTTAGTAAATATTTACTTTTACAATATTTCGTTTTAATTTTACATGATAAAGATCCATCTTCTATCACTTGGCATATAGAATATAAATAAGAATAGAATTAAATAACTTTACATTAAATAAATTAATTCAAATTATTATATATTTAATATTATATATTTAATCCAAGCTATTATAATCAGCTATTCAAAAATATCGATTAAAAATTAAAATGAAATTCTTTATAAAATTTATAAATATTAAATTTACAAATATTAAAAATACAAATATATCATGATAAATTTAAAAAAACATCTGATATTAAACAATTTAACTTTATTTAATATAAAAACGAATTTAGATCATCACTAAATCACGTATTTATATTTATCGATATTATTTAATTGCTAGAAATATGTAATAAATCAAAAAAAAAATATTCTGATACTAGTTAAACTTTAATTTTAAAATAAATATTAATAAGACAACAAAACTAGAAAATAAAAATTGTTCAATTCAATACAAATCACAAATATTAAAAAAAATGATGAAAAAATATGAATTTTCACTTTACAAAATTTTATAAATAGAACTATAAAGACAAGAAAAAGATAAGAATAAACTATAAAGACAATTAAAAAATTTAACTTAATTCTAAAAAAAAATAAAATAACAATTTTTCATAAAAATTTATGAATATTTGAGTGGATATTACTTTTGTTTATATTTTTGAACAAGAGTAAAATTAACATGTTAAAAACTATTTTTTGTTAATAATTGTGTTCTATTCTTCTGTTACATAATTGTATCATTTTTCTTTAATATCTATTATTATTTTTTTCTCGTTCAATTTATTGTCTAAGAATAGTTTTGCTTTTATATAAAAACTCATTATTTTAATTTAATAAATTAAGTTTATAATTTATTCGAATATATTCTTGCAAATTATAAGCATATTTTTTTATACATCTAATAATACCGAATTATGCAATTAACCAATTTAATAAATAAATTAATTATTTACTTATTAAAAATTATTATATAAAAATATTATAAAAATTATTATAAAAATAAAAAATCTATTAATTTATTACATAATTCCATATTGTTAGATATATAAAAAAAAATTTATAATTTACGAGAATATATTCGAATAAATTACAAATTTAATTTATTGATATATTATATGTCATAAATTTTTACAATATTTCATGTAAGTATCAAAAAAATGAAAAATAAAATATCTGAAATATCAAACGGGAAATATTTGACTAAGTAATCCTTTAATTATATTTAGCAATGTACGTTATCCATTGAAAGTGTTATCAAGACAGCGGGAAAAAAAGAAATTCTGATAACATTACTCACATGTCTCTGATGGATTGGAGTAACGTGCACAGCACACGTAATCCTCGTCAAAACAGCTGCAAAAACGCTACACACACACGGAACACTGATCGAGAGAGAGAGCACACCGAACCAGTTCACTTCAGTCGAATAATCGCACGATACATCTAAAACTACGCCGATGGGAGAACCCATCCAGGAGATCAAGAAAAAAAAAAAAGTATAGTCACTTCGTTTCCATCGTGTTGTTTCGTTTCATCCGTGTCAGCGATACAATAAGTTCATCCTATCCTTCTTCCTTCCTCACCATTCCTTCCGTCACTGTTTATTCCTACCTACAAAACAGTATTTCACCATGCATAATAGCATCATCCATGTATATTCGATCATTATGATCAAAAGAAAAAAAAATCGTTAAGAACACTAGAACGACGATAATATGCTTCTTTTTATCGTCTTACAGTCGTAACACGCGCGCAGTTCGATATGAATCCGCAAGTAACGCGAATGTCTTCATCGTTTCCCGCGTTTTAACACAGAGAATTTACTATATAGATCGTGTCCAAACGCCACGATTCCAAGACTCGTCCCACCACAGATTTCTCATCATTAATCACGGCGCCCATTTCCCATTCCGTTAAAACGCGGGCCGCGAGAACATAAGTCCGCAGAAAAATCGCGGAACGGGAGTCGTTTCGCCGCGAGGTGGCCACGAAACGAGGTTAATGGCACTCGAGATGCTCCATACAGTTTGCCACCTCGGACACGTCGTATGCGATCAGCTGCAATCCCGAAACGATCTCACAAATTCATCAGCATCGAGAAATACAACAAAATCAAGTATAAATGACAATAACGAAGCACAGGATATCCTATAATGAATGTCGCTTTTCATCAGTAGCAGGGACGGCACTTATAGTAACCCACTTTTAAGCGACATCGTTTTATTCCGCTGTGGTTTACTTCCTAGATCCACGATATTTTTTCCAATATTATGATCACTCGTAACACGTACCGATCACACAATAATTGAATTCCACGATCTCAGTTAATTCCCAGCATTGCCACTCGATGACCAGCTGACAGCATCGAGATTGCGACGAGGAAAACAGCCCTCGCCTTGCTCCATTTAGCGTCGATTTTAGGAGATCATCTTATTACAATTATTTTTTCACACACTATTTCCAATTGTTCCCCGATTCACAAGATAATTCGATAAGCATCGTGAATGATTTGATGTGATGAAAAGCACGAAAACAACGAACGTGCAATGAGAATGGTGCACACATCGAATAACCTCGCGCAGCCAAAATGGTGGACGACACTCCCGTGTTCTGCTTTAACTCGGTCGCCCGCCGCGTCCTCGTCTTCTTCTCTTAGCTAATAATTGTCGATCATAACACAGCTTTGAAATACAAGTAACACAGGATCTTGAACATAATCACACTGTCGAACGATAAAATGATAAGATACGATTAAGTAGAGTGCACTGGAACCGCCTTCTGGTGCACAACACAACACAGCACCTCCGTACGCGTAAAGTGGACCACCCGGCTGGCGCGTTCACATATCCATTTCCCAAATTACACGTCTATTCACAAATGTTCCTTAGTGATTAGGAAACGGTTGATAGGGTCTAAAAAGGTTTTTGGCCCAATCACCTGATCGTGGCGTGGAAAAAAGCTCCACGAAAGACGGCAGCGTCGACAAGCTCCTCGCTGAGGGCATTCCAGCGCAGGCAGGGTGGACCGAAACGAATACCGCGCCATCTGACGGCTAAGCCATTGACCCAACAACTGGCATGGCCGCGCAACCAACCCTCGCGTCAATAACAATCGAATCGCACTCAAGGCGATTTTCGCTATATCATTCGCATCGAGATATGCTAACGTCATTCTCTTGTTAGCCAATTCTCATATCTGGAGCAATGTTGATCGCACAAAATCGAAATGTTTTCTTTCCATCCAAACTCGCGATTTAGTGCATTTTTTCGATTAACCGCGCACCAAACTATGGGGGCGGCTGCGCGATTCGAACTGAGCACAATTTCGCATGGGAACCACGACCCGACGACGGAAATACACGAGACTATACGAATGCGATTTCCTGAACAGTCGAATGTCGAGACATCTAGGAACGATATATTGAAATTTAAAGGGATTGTTCCGTCGATCGAAGGGATGAACACTATCATATGGTCAGACAGTGACCTGTTAATACAAAAGTATATATATATATATATTATTATAAAATGAATAGATATAGAAAAATAAATAAAATTTCATATCAATAATGTGATATAAAAATGTATCTTCAAAACTTCCTATTATTCTTTTTAATTGCAATTAATATTTTATTATTTTAATAATCAAATTATTAATTTCATTATCTATAATGAAAATTTACTTTTGTATAATTTAATTAATATCGAAATATATTAATATTATTATTTTATAAATGATGAAAATGATAATAAAGATTATAAAATGATAAAGTAACTTTTTTATTATGATTTTATTTCAATATAGTCTCGTAATGTTTAAAATTCCAATCATGCATTTCCTCTTCTTCTTCTTCTCTTCTATCTATTGAAACTTTTTCTTCTTTAGGTATCTGAAACATTTTAAACTATCTTTCTTTTGCTCTTATTTATATGAGATTTGTTTTTATTTATTATTAATAAGAAAAAAATAATGATATTATAATTTATAATATCATTATATATAAGTTTACAAAATTTATAAGTATATCTTAATATATTTTTAACGTGCTTAATAAATATACCTAAATATAAATTAAAAAAATAATAAAATATAAAATAAAATATAAAAATCATTAAATAAATATAGAAAATATACTGGTTCTTCCTTGATTAAAGATCGGAGATAATGTAGCTCATTATCTTTCTCTAATTGCCATTGATTACGTTCTTGAAATTTTCTATAATCTAATAACCAAAATCCAAGATAACCAACAGGATCATAAGGTTTCTTTGATATAATTTCTTTTATCGCCATTTTTAATGGAAATTTTAAACATTTTTTTAGCCATATACTATCAAATGACAATTCTTCATCTGTTATACTTGTGCAACATAGTGTTTCACTTTCTTCTTCTTTTAAATTGCAATTATCTTATTATAATATTTTGTTGTTACTATACTTTATCAAATAATATTTTAAGGTATAAATATTAATGAAAATAATTATGGTATGATATACAATTTTATATATATATATATATAATATCAATTTAATGATATATAAATATATAATTAAAAATATATTATTTAACGTACCAAATATTTTTTTAAGAGATTCATCAATTTTTTCATAATTATCATTATAAATTTTAGGATTTTCCTTATTATTTATTTTGTTTTTATATCTTTCTGAGATTGGTAAACAATCTAACTGACTATAAGTTGGAGTCAATAGCATTAACATTTCTTTGGCGGTTAATTTACTGACAATTATAATAAATAATGTAAATAAAATTATATATTTTACGATAAATTACAGATAATGGTGATAAAAATAAAATATATTAGATAAATAAAACGTAATTTGTCTATAATACAATTAAAAAATTTAATCTTACCTTTTATTTTCAGGAATTGTTTCTCTGTATTTCTTCGCAAAAAAATTTAAAGGATCTGGAATACTTGTATCGCTTGATAAACATTGTTCCTTCTTCATTTTTAAACGTTCTTAATTCTAAAATGATAAAAAATAATTAGAAAAGAAAAAATGTTATTAATTATCAAATTTAATTACTATTGATATGATTGAATTATTTATATATATATATTGAATTTGCAGTAAAACAATGTTGAATCGTCAAATTTTCGTTCAATTTAATATCAATCACATTTAGCAAATATATACAGTGAATGATAAATTATAATTATAATTATAATTATAAAATATACATTGATAGTGATGATTATGATATATTAATCTTCTCAAGAATTATATCAAGAATATGAAAAATTCTTATGAAAAAAATTTAATTATTTTGCATTATTTTGCATTATATATTAATGAAATAATATAAAATTAAAAAGATTTTTGTATTTTTTCACTTTTATCTTTTTCTTGATTGCATATTTCATAAAATATAATATAACATATAAAATTTTTAATCTAATTTATAATATTTGTACTTTTTTTTGTGTAAAATAATTTTAATTAAATTCCAATGTTCTCGAATGATATAATTCTATCTTTACACATTAATCTTCTCTATGGCTGCAATAAATTTCAAAACTGTAATTCTTAATATTGCTACTAGTTATTTGTAACGTGATCTTGTGATAAAACTGTCAATCCTGGCTGATGAATATTTATATGACTTGATATCTTTCAGAAATTTCAAAGCGTACTTTGATTATTACCAGGAAAGTATAGTCGAAGATAAGAAAAATCTAACTAAATGTAACAGAAATTTCCAAGATAATGAGTTTTTATGCCTCATGTTCGCAAAACAAATATACATACATAAAGGCATGGCATACATCACATGGGCATGGCATAAATATATCAAGTATCTTATCGAGATGCAAATCTTCCGATCTCGACTAATGTCTTCCTGCTATAAGATTCACGAATTATATGAGTCAGTTTGGATAACTTCACCCAACTTAGTAGGATAGATCTCGTTTGATCCCAAGAACAAAATGTCTATTGAAAATCCTAAAAAAAGTATAGATAAAAAGATCACAACTTGGCCACAACAGTTAACTGCATTTATACGTAAGTATTAAAACAAAAATAACAATAGAGTTATCAATTTAACAATAATGACAGTAAATATAATAGAATGATATATAAAAACAAATAATAAAAATTAATATAAATTTTGATTAACTGCATGTGTTATAATAATTATAGAAATAAAATATTTTAATAATTTTATAGTTTTTATAAATTTAATAATTCCGTTAAACGATTATATATTATTGTCAAATCAAATAAGTCACATTTTTTGAAAGTTTACAAAAGCAATATTTGGTTAACATTAAACTTGATCAAGACGTTCTAATACAATCTCTGGTATATATCAAAATACGCCGTATTTCATACACAAGATGCCTGTAGAGCTATGTCTATGAATGAGCTAATGAAATTACTCTCGCATCCGTTGACACAACTGTTTCATGGCCGTTTGTGACAGTCTGCTTAGCTATTATCGGAAGTGGTCTCGCGAATGGTTGGGCATCGCCATACTTGGCTCAACTGACATCAACGGAAGCGAACATGCCTTTGAGACTGACAGATACCGAAGCATCCTGGGTAGCATCCCTTTTAAATCTTGGTCGCTTCGTCGGGGCTTTGCTCAGTGCACTGTGTCAAGGTAAGGCCATTTCTTCATTGTCAGAAAGAAGATTCATTTGATCTATTAATTTTACCCTCTTCAATCGCAAATCATGAAGACATACTTGAACTTGAAGAATGTCTATAATGTATTAGATCAAATTAGTAAACGAAATCTGTGTAATTTAAATTGTTCAATATATCAGAAATGTTCAATAATTTTCATAAACACATATACATGTATATATTCATAGTTGACCTGATCGATACTCTCTTGCAGCACACGATCAAGTAACCAAGCAAGGCAAACAATGGTGATCAACATTGTTAATCGAGAATTGAATAAGAACAAGGCAGCCACGACTCAGCACTTGTAGAAAAACATGATACGAAATTGTGGTACGTAGAAAAGCAAATGCAAACAAATAATTGTAATATCGATAGGAAATTATTATTGAAATACGTACATATATTCGAAATATATTAAAACATATTCCTGATTTTTGAAACAAAAATCCCGAGATAAAATGTGTAAGAAATAAATTAAAAATTTCAGTGATCCACTAATTGTGGTGACTGAGTTGTGGTCATCTTGTTCTCAGGTAAATGTAATTTTAATTTGTCATAACATAATTTTCAGAATATATGGGACGAAAAATAGTGCTTCTATTTAGTGCACTACCAATGACAATCAGTTGGATATTCAGTATATGTGCTACATCGGTCATATGGCTTTACATCTCTAGATTCTGTTCAGGAATCGCATCAGGAATGATATGGTCTTCAATATCTCTATATCTAAGTGAAATTGCCAATCCCAAAATTCGTGGATCACTGGTAAATTCATATATCGTATAAAATAATTCACTTATGAGATTAAAATGAATAAAAAATATTTTCTTTTCTTTCTATTTTTGTCAAAAATTATTAAATAATCTTATTTCCTAAATTTCAATTAAATTAATTGAACTTCTTAAACGTAATATCAAAATCAATACTCTATAAAAATGAGAGATATTCACGTTTTAAAAATATGAATATATCATATATTGACATATATGCATGAATATATCATATATGCACATATAATTTGATATATACAATAATATAATAAAATAATAATAAATAATAAAAATTATATAAATAATATTATAACTACTATAAATAATATTGTATATAAAAAATTTACTAGCTATTATATTAAACATAGTATTTTTGATGATAAATCATAACGTTTAAGGAATCAAAAATTATTTCATAAATTGATATTTTAAGATATACACTTCTTTTTACTCATATGAATATTTCTATTTGATAAAATCATATCTATGGTCACGTCTTAGATATCCATGAACGTGAATGCATCTTCCATTGGTATGTTCTTGGGCAATGCAATGGGTCCTTATCTGTCCATGGAGATGTTCGGGTACGTGAGCCTCGTTCCGAATATCCTCTTCATGATCCTCTTCAGTTTGATACCTGAATCGCCATACCATTACCTCTTGCACGGGGATATCGACAAGGCCGAGGCATCCTTGAAGTGGTTTAGGCGAGAAGCTGACGTCAAAGCCGAGATGCAAGATCTTCAAGAATTCGTCGACGGAGCTGAAACTAATATTTTCCTAAAGTTGAAGGAGTTCCTCACACCAAGTATCCATGATTCTCTTTTTACTTGAATGTTTTCATAAAAGTTAACAACAAAAGAATCCACCGTTTACAAAGAACAAGTTTAATTTGTTTCAGAAATTCCATGTTTTTCATTACTAACACTTCACTTCGATATATTTATTAAATATTTGAAATTATTTCTTTGAAATTAATATCGTTAATATATATAATATCGTTATCTTGGTCATATCTATTAAAAGTGATATTTTTGATAGTTTAATTTTCTCTTACAATTTTCTATAAACAAATTTTGAACTTTAAAAAATTTCATACTTCTATTCTCGTCATATTGAAAATTTAAAATATCAAAAAAACTAATAACTAATGACAAAATATATGATCAACCTCAAATTTTTTTCTATTTTATTTCAGGTAATTTAAAGAAACCTTTCATCATAATTGGTCTCTACTTATTCTCCTATGTAAGTGGATACAGTGCCGTGAACTCTTACACAGAAATAATTCTAACAAAAAGTAAAATTAGCATCACACCTAGTTTAATAGTGACAATTCTTGCATTGTCTACGATTTTTTCAGGTTTGTTAGCTACATTATTAATTGATAAATTAGGTAGACGATATTTATTAATAATATCCAGTACAGGAACATCAGTATCCTTAGCACTTTTAGGATTGCATTTCCATCTTCTTTCATTAGAATATGATTCTAAAAATTTGACATGGTTACCGATCATTTCTTTATTAATGTTTAATCTATTCATTTATTCTGGATTAATGCCAATTCCAAACACACTTTTAGGTGAAATGTTCAATGCAAAATTGAAAAACATAGCTTCATTATTTATAAGTTGTATGAACGCTTTATTATCTTTCGCAAGTACAAAAACTTACCAGCCTTTTTTAGATTTGGTTGATGATAAATTTGTGTATTGGACATATAGTATTTGCCTATCACTTTCAATACCATATATTTATTTTTTCATCCCAGAAACAAAAGGCCAAAGTCTTTTACAAATTCAACAACAGTCAATAAAAAAATAATAATACATTAAAAATTGTTAATTTTATAATTTATATTCTTTTATCTAATACTAATATTATCTATAAATATAAATAAATTAAAAATAAATAAAAATCAAAAAATTATATCTTGTACATAATTTGTACATATAAAATATACATTATATTATATTTATACAAATAAATATAAATTAGTATTTTATAAATTAGATTATAAAAAATTCATTCTTTTTTTTTATTATTTTTCATTTTATTCTTACATAATATATCTTCAAGAAATATGAAAAAAGTTCTTAAATCTAAAAATTAATCTAAATTTATTATTAATATTATTTTACCTTTCTTGTGTAATGTAATGAAATTATATTTTTCTTAAAAGATATCACAAAAAATTACAAATAACTTTATACTATTACTGTTCTTCTCTTAAAGAATCTATAGAATATTATAATTCGATATGCACTAAACACAGTTGAAGTTCCAACTATATTACAACAATGTTCGTTCCCTCTACAACGTTAGCTATTCATTACACTGTAAATAAAAAATTATATGAAATAGAGAAGGATATACAAAACGATGACAATAATATTGAACATGTTTTGAATGAAGGGGAAATAAAATTCTATGTTTTGGTATCTAATTTTATCTAGTTTAAATTATAAAGAATTTCCTGTGAAGAAGTTTCGTTGAAATACGCATATAAGGAAATATTTTAGTTGCAAACATCAAATTTTGCATAAAGGGGAAATATGAAAAAACCGTTTAATAAATCGATTGATTATTATATACTACCAAATAAGATTTTCTGTAGTATAGCTGGAATGTGGCCTATCGATGAGAAAAGTTCAATATTCAGTAAAATATTTGCATATGTTCGTTTGATATTTGGATTAATAGTAGTTAGTAGTTTTTTCATACCTGAAATTATAATAATAATAATGAATTGGAAAAATATAAAAATCATAGCAGGTAAATACTTAATAGAGTTAATAACTAACTAAATTTAAATTTCACATTTCTTTGAATAATTTTCTTTTAATAATAAAAATTAAATTTTTTCTCAAATTAGGGATAGGCTGTGTTTTAACAACAATTACACAAGTATTATTTAAAATGATATATCTAATAGCGAGAAGAGAAAAAACATATTCACTTTATTACAAAATACGAAGTCTGTGGAATTCTTCTAATGATTCTAAAGAAAGACCTTACGAAGAATTCGCTTATTGGGCACGAATTTTTTCGATAATTTTTTATTCATCTTGCATGTGCAATGTATTCACATTCTCTATTGCTGCGGCTATTGATTATTTTAAATTCGAATATAATGCCAATAACACTGAAAATAATCGACATTTACCTTTTATTGTTTGGTACAAATCATCCTTTTCCATTAAAATATTTGTCTTCCTTGTTTATTGAATAAAAAGATTTATTACATTCAAATATTTAATTTATTATAATTATAAATTATTATATAAATATTATTTCATATGGATATTAAAACATTTTAAGTAATTGTCCTATTTAATTTATAATATCTTAATATTATTATTAGGTATGGAACAGACATTTCCACATCTCCAAGCTTCGAAATTGCATTTTTTTATCAAATTATATCATCTTCAATTTGTGCTGCTGTCATTTCTGGCTTGGATACTTCGCTTATGACTATTATATTACATGTATCTGGACAATTTAAATTGATCAATATTTGGATCAATAATATTGGAATTGAAATAAATTGCAATCCTAATTACATACAAAAATTAAAAATAGATTTAATCAAATGTATTCGTCATCATCAACAAATAATACAGTGAATATTTTTTCCAATTTCAATTTTGTTTTTTATTTTTCTTTATTTATATATATATATATATATTTATAGATATTATTAAATATATAATATAATATAATTAAATTATAACAGTTTCTTTTAATTTTTATTTTTAATAATGATATTAATTTTATACAGTGTGGTAAATAAAATGAATAATTTATTTACTCCTATCATTTTCATTCAACTTCTTACGAGCGGAATTGAAATTTGTTTAAGTGGATACGCAATACTTGATAATGATTCAGCGAATGCTGATCTACTGAAATTTATATCTTATTTCATTTCCATGGGAATACAACTTTTATTATGGTGTTGGCCTGGTGAAATCCTTATTCAAGAAAGCCAAGAAATAGGACATGTAATCTATCTCAATATACCGTGGTATAATCTTCCCCCGATTTATCAGAAATATCTTTGTTTTATGATTGTTAGGTCGCAACAATATTGTCGTATCACAGCATTAACTTTCCAAACATTATCTATTTGTACATTGACAAGTGTAAGTAATATTTTATCAATTTTTTTAAAGAAGAAAGAAAAAACATAAAAAATCAAAATAAAAAAATTTCATAGTGAAAATTTAGAAATTTAGAAATTTCAAACTATTGAATTTCGAAAATATTATCTTTACTTTACTATTAATTTTAGTAAAATTAAAATAAATATATATATTATATTATATATTATATATATTATAAAATTAAAATATATAAAAATTAAATTATTTCAGGTATTCAACTCTAGTGCTTCATATTTTACTTTATTACGACAAATACAACAGTAAACTTCAAAAAAAATGATAAACGCTATCTACGATTTTGTTCATTAAAAACAAATGCTAGAAAAGATAATCAAATGTACACCTCTAACCGTGTAACCGAGAATCTTTATATAATAGTTCGGATATTATTTTGTAATTAATTAAAGAAGTAAATTTTAATTTCTTATCATACCTGACGTTATTTTTCAATCGAATGTTGTCCATAATATCCAATCTAAAAACGTTCGTCAATCGTGGAATACTAAGCAATCGTATGTATTAATTAATTTACTATAAATAAACTATATTCGCATATATTATTTTTTATTTTATATTTAACATTAAATTTTAAAATAATGCTTTTTTTCTTACATTTCAATATGAGAATTGATATATATAAAAAAAAATAGATAAAAATTATCTATGATTATCCATATTATTTGAACCATTTTTAAAGTGGTAATACTGATGTTTATATTTTGCGGGAAAACTTCATTATGTTTGAATCTTTATAAATCGTTCTAACCTAACAATTTAGCAATATTAAAAATTATATTATATTATTTTATTTTCTATAGAAATCGTTAATCGGCAAACGTTTGACAATTGTATAACGTTTCATTCCGCGATTTGTATTTTACTAATGAAGAGAATACGATCAACATCAAAAATATATTCTGCCGAAAAAAAAAATGATGAATTTAATAAAGATGAATTGGAAAATAACTTAAAGGTTTGTTATTTTCTAATTTTTAAAATTATTGTTTCTGATAATTAAATATCAGTTTTTTTAACATTTAGTTTTTAATATCTCTTTTTCTATTATAAAAATAATAAGAAATTTGAATAAAAATTTTCTCTTTTTTTAAAAATGTTTTTTTAAATTATTTAATTTAAATTATGTATAATTTCTTGTACTTTTTAATATAATTATTTGATTATTTATTTGAATTATTTTTAAATAAAATAATTAAATTATTCTTAAATATTTTCGTTAGGATACTGAACATCATTCTTTGGTCAAAAATAAAAATTTACAAAATCAGAAAATAACTAATGTAGCAGAAATATTAAATTCTTCATCAAAAGATGTTCAAAATCATGAGCAGAATGAAAAAAATAAGCTTAATTTAAAAAGTTTAAGAGATAGTAAGTTTTTTAGAATAATATCTATATCTTATATTATAATATCTACATTAATATATATTTTATATAATTTATGTATATAGGAAAAAAAAAAGTTAATGAAGAATATGAATTAAGTATACCTCCTCCAAAAAATAAAACAAGAGCAGTTGTGGATCTTAAAATGATGAAAGAAGAATTAAAACAATTGGAAGATCCTCCATTGACTGTATGGGAAAAAGAAATATGTTCAAATAGACTACCATATTCATTTTTTGATTGTCCCTGTGAAGAATTAGCTCAAAGTTTATTAGGTAATAATTATTTAATTTTTGTATAATATTATAATCTAATATTAATGTATGCTTATACATTCAGGAAAAATATTAGTTCGTTGTTTAGAAAATGGAACTATTTTAAAAGGTAGAATTGTTGAAACAGAAGGATATTTAGGAGTAATTGATAAAGCATCTCATACATATCAAAATAAAGTTACTCCTCGTAATATACCAATGTATATGCCACCAGGTACTATATATGTATATATGACATATGGAATGTATCATTGTTTCAACATATCTAGCCAAGGTGAGTGAAAAATAAAAATTAATTTTAAAAAATAAAAACAAAATCAATATAATATTATATTCTAAATGATAAAAAAAACTGGTTGGTATTAAAAAATATTTAGAGTCAGGAGCACATGTATTAATTAAAGCAGTTGAACCTATGCTTGGCCTTGATTATATGGAATTATTAAGAAATATGCAATCAGAGAAAAATAAAAAAGAAAAGAAAATTGTAAAAAATGTCAGAAGCTTTAAAAGATATGAACTTTGTAACAGTCCAACTAAAATTTGTACAGCTTTTGTTATTGATGAAGATAGCTTCAATCAAAAAAAGATTTATGAATGTAGTGATTTATGGATAGAATGTGATCCTCATATAAAATCAACTACTATTGTAGCAGCAAATTCTGATGATTCAAATAATGAACAAAAAATGTGGAGATATTATGTATTAGGAAGTTCTAGTGTTAGTCATAGAGATATTAAATGTGAAGAACATGCTTATAATATATAATAATTAAAAAATATAATTAAATATAATTATTTTAATGATGATTTTCATTTTAATATTTAATTCTCTTCCATAAAAAAAATCTGGTAAGATTTTAGGTGAAGGGTGTGCTGTTTTAATAAGAGCTGTTGAACCCTTAGAAGGTATTGAATACATGACTAATCAACGAACTTCAAAGGGATTATCAAATACATCTAAAAAACTTTCAAAAGTTTTAAAAACATATGAGTTATGTAATGGCCCATCAAAGTTATGTATAGCTTTCCAGCTTCATAAAAATCATAGTAAATATTCTTTATGCTCTTGGAAAAGTTTGTGGATTGAAAATGATGAAATAGAAGAAATCAATATTGTCAAATGTCGTAGAATAGGTATAGATAATTATGGAGAAGAATGGACAAATAAACCTTTACGATATTATATTTATGGGAATAAAGCTGTGAGTAAAAGAAATAAAGAAGCAGAATTACATTTGGGATTGAATTAAAAAATTATTATTATTAAATTATTATTATAATCTATTATTTTGGGCATATTTAAATTAATATTTTTTAATGTGATTTAGTGTTTTAAAAATTTATATTTTGAATGTACACACTTAATAATATACTCAAAATTTTAAGTTACAAATAATTATAATGCATGTATGAAATAAATAATCTTTAAGTATGAATAAAGTATAATATATATTAAATAAATACATTTATACAATATAGAAAGTTTTAAAGTATTTTAAAATACTTCACATTTTTCATATCCATTCCTTCATTACTCTTTCATAATCTTCTTCTTCAATAAATGGTTTATCTATAGATCTGAATATGAAATATGAATTTTACATTAATCTATCTGAAATATTAAATATGAATTAATAAAATAACTTACTCTATCATAAGTTCTCCGCAGTATAAACATTCAGAGGCTACTAATTCATCAATGTCAGTTTTTATTTGATCTTTTGTAGATAAAGATACAGATCCAACTGATCTAGTATCTTCAGGTCTGTTTGAAAGAGCAGTAAGTTGTCGTTGAAGATCAGCTAACTTTGTTCTCTGATCCATTGACAACATAGGTGTTAATGCAGCTACAAGACAATCACTATGAAATCTGTGTCCACATGGAAATACATAAAAAGGTCGTAATAGTAATTGAACATTACAAGTATTGCATGTGTCTTTTGTATTTACGAACGTACATCTAAAAAAATTTTAATAATATATACATCATTAAATAATTTATTGTTATTTCTATTTATTTACCTCGTTCGGAATTCTTGTATATCTTTTCTAATAAGTTCTGCTGCTTTTGTTGCTTCTTGCATTTCTTCTTTTAAATCTTGAATATGCTGATTGTACTCCTATCAAATATAAGATAAATATATTTATATGTATAATGAATATTTAATTAATTATATTTAATTAGTTATATTCATTATATTTAATAACTAAATCTTTTCAATCATTTGTATATCACATTCAATAGATAAAAAGACTCTGAGTTTCTTAAAAATTGATTTTGCTTTTCTTAACTTATATTAATAACTATTAAGGAAATTATCAAAACTACGATTATATTATCATGTATATTATTTATAAAATTATTTACCTGTAATGAATTGCAAATAGCATCTTTAAAATGATCTATAGTAACAAAATCTGAAAAAAAAGGTAGTATATCTTCTATTTTTACTATATCGCAATATTGTAAAAATTCCATTGCTTGTTGAATATCATCTTTTTCTCTAACCACATGCTCAGCTAAAATTAAAACAATTAGAAATTTGAATTAAAATATAAAATTTAAAATTATTTATATTCTTAATTACCAATTTTTAACCATAATTTTTTCCTTAATTCATGATCTGAAGGCATAGCAGCTATTTGTTTAGCAAGATCAACATTAATTGTTAAAGCTAAATCAACTGCTGTTGTCCATAATCCAAGTAAAGCAGATAACTGTACACAAGCTTCTGTTAAACCAACTTCTTGACATAATCGTAGTGCATAATGCACATCATAATGTACCATATTTATGTCTTGTCCTAATTTAAATTTTCATTAGAAATATTATACTTTTAATGAAAATATATCACTTAAAAAATCACCTTGAGAACTAATATACCGCATTACTTCATCTCGTTTATAACGGGCATATAAAGACAATAAAAAATTATGAATTGCTTGTTCTTGACAACTTTGTTTATAAACGCAGAATTCTAAGTATCTGATTACTTCTTTCGCCTATAATATTAAATACTAATTGATTGTTATAAAATTTAAAATCTAGATAAAATTAAAAAAAAATATATCTTACATGTTTTTCATCACTATTACAAGATACTAAAGCTGGAAGAAGCTTAGATGGTTTTAATAAAGAACCTTGTGATATTAAGGCAGTCATTGTAGGGCGTGGTAATTCTTGTAAAAGAATACCAGCAAACTGATAAAATAGTTCTTTATTATTTTGACTCTTTAAAAGCTCAAGAGCTTCTAAATAATTATTTTTATATAAATGTTGACGTATTACTTCTTCATAATTACAATGCATTATTGTTAAACGAATAAGATTATCTTTATCACCATGACTTGTCATTAAATCATATATAGTGCTACGATTTCTTTTTATACATTCCTAAAATTAAAATAATTTTTTTTATTTCAAATATTTTTCAATAGAAAAATATTTAGAAGATATAGATTAATTAATACCTCAACTTTTGGTATTGCAAGAAAACTATCAAATTGTTTTTGCAATTCTAAATATTGTGAATCATGTAAATAAGATGAATTGTTACTTCGTAATACGCCCATTTGATTCATGAATAATTCAATTACCCATACAACAATCATGGTTATTTGCGTTTTATCTTGCGTTTTTAATCCTTCGAGTTTCTGGATGTAAAAAATTCAATTATTTTAAACATTTAAAATTTAAATTGCTTAAAGTAATAAATATAACACCTTTTTAAGAAATGTTTTTAAAGCTTCTATTTGCCATTCTTGTAAAAATTTTAAAGATATTTCTTCAAATGATGAATGAGTATCTGCATAAATAAGAGCACTTTTTTCATATCTATAACATAAAGTATAAAATAATTTTATAATGTTTCAAATAAATGATATATAACTTCTTTATATGTTTAACTTACTCCTTATTTTTAAAAAGCATTTCCGCTTGTTTTACAAGCACTTGATCTATATGTGCTGGATTATCTTTACAATATTGTTTTGCAAGTTCAAATTCGCCTTTATCAACATAAACCTATTTAAATGATATATATATATATATATATATATATATATATTTATTATTTCATATTATTAATTATTAGTTTACATTATATGAATGAATATTATATACATTTCATTTCATTATATTTCATTTTACCTGCCAAACGTTTCTATCTTCTTTATTAATTTTATATTTAAATACTGCTCTTTCACTATAAGCCCATATAGAACGTGTTACATAATCTTTAGTAATATTTAAAAGTTTTCCTACTGCCTATAAAAATTAAATATTTTTTTTATAATTCATATTATTAATTTATAATAATTACATCAACAATGTTAGTTTTTATACTCTTTTTCTTATAATTTTGGTATTTTGCATTACTTACATCATTATAAATGTCTTCAAATATTAAATCTTGATTCAAAAGTGACATGCCTTTTACACGATCTGTATAAAGTAATAATGCATGAAATTCTGTAAAAACAAAAGATAATGGTGCAGAAGTTGTTTTTGATATATTGCTTCCCATCAGACTTGCTTCAGGAAAAATTAACATTTGCTGATTTGTTAATACACTTTTTGGATCTATTTTTGGATCAATCTAAATAAATAATATAAATTATTTAAAAATAAAATTTATATACAAAATTTATAAAAAAAATAAGTATTTAAGATAAATAACAATAAAATTACCTGAGCATATAATATACCAGTTTCAGTTAACCAACCAAAAGATTTTGGTAAACTACCAAGTGTGGGATAATAAAATTGAATTTTAGAATAAGACAAATGATTTATTACTTCATTGAAGCTTTCTATAAAAAAATTATTTTGATTATATATCATATAATCATATAAATTATAAATATTATAAATATAAGTTATAAATATTATAAATATAAATTATAAATATTATAAATATAATTTAATGAATTATATACATATATTAATAATAATTTACCTTGCACATTTAAATATTTATTGAAAATTTGTTGCAATAAAGGTTTTTCTTCTGGATTTTGTACTGCCCCAATATATTGATAAATTCTCATAAGAGTAGTAACAATAATCACATATTTGTCAGTATTTGGTATTTTATGAAATTCTAAACCAGTAATTGGTGGTTTACTATCTTTTCCTATATCAAATACCTAAAATAAATAAGAATTAAATATTAATTGTACAAAAATATATACAACACAATATAAAATATGATTATGATATGAAAACAGCAAAATTTATAATAAGCATAGATTAAAATAATTAAAGATTATAATTTTATAAATATTTATTTCATTATTATCAAATTATTTTTAAGAATTCATAAATATCTGTGTTTCTAGCATACAGATGTATTGCACATGCAAAAAGTATAATTTCTAACTCACCAATCCTTCTACCTCTTTGACACCATAAAGAGGTAAATAGTTAGGAAGCTTTGGACATAATGAATAATGGTATAAAGGAAACACTTCTATTATTATGAAATGATAATGCTTACTGACAGTGATATTAAAAATTTATTTCTATATTTTATTTATACCTGACGCCAATATTGTTCCAAGCTTGTATTAAATATTTTATCACCATCTAAACCAATTTCTGTTTCAAAAATGAGACCTTTTGAAGTTCCTAAAAGGATTGGACCTGTAGTAGTATCTGAAGAATTTGAAAAATTCCATCCAACAGCAGTAATCTCATGTCCTTTGAATTTACTTGCCTAAATGAATAAATCTTGGAAACTATATTTCTTTTAAAAATGAACATTTATATAAATTGATATATAAACATATATTTGATATATTATATTTTTTATACATTTATATTATATTTACCTGTTTTAATTTTGTTGATTTTCTGTGTAAATAAAATAATTCAGGAGGAGGATTATCTTGAGATTTTGAAACTAAAGCTATTAATAAATGATTACCAAAAGGATCAAGAAACATTCCTGACATATCCATATTTATGGCATATTTAGATATATCGATTTCTGAGAAAAAATATCTTTATATGAATTTATGTTTTATATTATGAAATTTTACTAAAAATATCAAAAAAAATAAACCTTCAGGAGAATCTGGTTGTTTCATGTCAATACGTAAAAGAATATTATTAGCCATGGCAATAACAATAATATTATTGTTAACAACAAAATGTAAAATTTTGTCAGATGGTAAAAAATTAACTTTTTGCTTAATAAATATTGGCCCATCATCTTGAAATTTCATTTGGATAAATCCAGCTGTACTCTAAAAGTTAAATAAAACTTCCCTTTACATGATTTTTTAATATAAAAGTTAAAACATTATAAATATCAAAAAAGAAAAGTTAATTCAATTAAATAAAATTTATATTACACATAAACTTACAATATCTGGACGAATTGGTGGCATATGTACTTGTTTTGATCTTTGAGATGCTTGTTCATACTGATCAAACATTGATGTCATTTTATTAATTTATTTAATATTTTTTATTTAATTATAATTTAAAATAAATATATTATAATTATAATTGATAGTTCAAAAAATAATACTTTATAACATTACACTTAAACATAATTAAAATAATTATAATATTACTGTTTAATATAATATAAAATTTCCGTATTGAATTTTTAGTGCACTTTTATGACAATGATCATAATAATAAGTCTTATTAAATTTTAAATCTGAATTTTTTTAAATAATTTATTATACACATAATTATAAATCATTTTTAAATTAAATATGATTTATAACAAATTAAATCACTATATTTAAATTTACAAACATTAAATTCACGTTTTCCAATACGAAACAGTATCTGACAACTTGTGAAATTTAGTTGCATTGGTAGCAGTGATAAAGTGCAAACATTACGAAATTATACATTTATAAAAACGTTAGATAAAAATGTATACGAAAATTAAATAATTAATTAATATTATACATTATTTAATATTTATAGTTATTATTACATAGCTTTATACATAAATAATTAATGAGAAAATTTATATAAATATTGCACTTCATTGCATTAACTTCTGGATAGCATATACTGTTTTTATCTACCTACTACATATGTTTTATCTCAACTATCTACTTTAAAAACGTGTTGTATTAAAACAAGTGTTTGTATTAGAAGCATTAAATAGCATTAAACGATAAATATAAAATATCTATTATTTAAATGTCTAATATTAATGCAATGGAAAATGAAAGCGATCCAGTGGTTAAAGAGGTACGTAAATACATTTCTATATTGTTTAATTTTAGGTTAATTTTAGGTTATGTATTTAAATTATATTTTATTTATAATTGTAATTTTTTATTATTATTATAAATAACGATTTATGTATTTTTATTATTTTTAAATAAATTTTTTCTACACAGTTATATTTTATTATATAAACTAAAAAAATAAAAATATAAAGAATACAAATGCATTTAAAGATATGCAGAAAAGAATTTCTTTCAGATTCCAGTATTTCTATCAAAAACACTTGCAGATAAGTTATTTATTTTCCAATATCCCGTCCGTCCCACAAAGGAAGGTTATGACAATGCAACGTTCTTAAAAACTTCAATAAAGCCAGAAAATCAGGAAGTTCTCATAGAAGTAGCAATAGATACACATAGTGTCAATTATGACCAGAGTAAAGGTGAGCAAATTGCAATAAATGCAGATGGAGATTCAAAGTTACTTGAACAAGAAGATGATGAAAGAGCATTTGATAGGTATTTGAAAAATTATAATTACATAAATAAATTATTTAATTATTTTATTATATATATTATAAATTTTATGTTATAGTAATGTTATGGACAAAACAGTATTACAATCTTCTCGAGCATTACCAAATTGTTCTAATTATGGAGTTGGTATATTTCAAGATGGAGAATTACATATAACACCATTGAGAGGAATTATTCAAATGCGGCCCCAATTTAGTTATCTAGATAAAACTGATAAACGTGTAAGAGAAGATGCCAAAAATATGGGTGAAGGTAAATCTTAATAATTTTTTATTGATTTAGTTTAATTTATATATGATATCTTTTGTTAATAATAATTTATAATATATATAGAATATGATGAAGAAGAAGAAGGCCCAAAGCAAGTTAGTGTAACTTTTGCTAGACAAAAACCTGAATTTATGAAAAAAATGCAAGAGCAATCTTTTCAACATCATACTAAAAAAAGTTTAGAAGAAAGATGGATTCATACAAATTATATTCCAGTAAATAGCACTCAATCAGAGGTTAATATTTTTATTTATTTTTATAAATTTATTATTGAAATATTTATTATAATAGATATTAAATATAATATATTATAAATATAAATATATTATAAATATATTATATTATTAATATAATAAATATATTAAATATTTATTGTATTAATTGCTAATATACATTTTCAGCTTACACGTTTAGAAATGTTTTGTTCTGCTACTGAAGAAACTGTAAATACATTAAATGTATCAACTGAGCAATATTTAGAATTATTAGCACCACGTATAAAGGAAGAACATTATTTAAAATCAGATATTTCCAATTATATTACATCTCTCAATTATATTAGAACTTTACCTCTTCTTGATCAAATTAGAATACTTATGAAAGATGGTTAGTTTTTTAAAATCTATGTTTGAAATTTAATATATTAAAGTTTAATTTATTTTAAGTTTATATTAAAATTTAATATCTAAATTATTATTTAATAAATTTAATAATAAATTTTTTTATAGCTAAAGTAATATCCTTTACACAGTTAAGATCAATATTATCACCAGATCAAGAAACAGCAGCTATTTTAAAATATTTACAACAAGTAGCAGTTTTAGTACAAGGAAACTGGGTTGTAAATAGTGAACTTATATATCCAAAGGATACTGTATCATCACAGAATGGCATTCCGGCAGAATTTATGTGTAGAGCTAGGGATTATGTTGTAATTGTTATATCTATTAAATGATTTATAAAAAAAAATTATTATTGTATTTTTAAAAAAATTATTATTTTATATAATTTCAGTTATTATCATTCACGGAACATGAATTCCTAGATCGGAAAACAATTTCATCTGTTATTAAATTACCTCCTGACGAAATTAAAGAAATATTTACAAATTTAGCAGTACATGAACCTAAAAAGGGATGGCATTTAATTATTCCACCTACTAAAGAGTTTATTGAAAGGTATCAATAATTTTATATTATTATATAGGAATAGGAATGAAAGATATTAAATTTATTCCATTTACTAATTTTTTTTATTTAGATATCCTGAAATTACACAAAGACAAGAAATGTTTTGGGAGGCAAAACGAAAACATATCCGCGAAGCTATGGAAGTTCAGAATCAAATTCCACAACGTCAAAGGCGGAAATCAAATAGAGAATCTATTGGATCTGAAAATGAAGAAAGAAATGTGGGACGCGGAAGAAAAACGTTAAGAGATTCTTCAATATCTGATAATGATAGTGCAACGGAACCAGTGAAACATAAAAAAACTATTCGATCTCGCAAAATATCTGAGACCACGTGACCAAAGTTGCGTCATTAAAATGTATGATATTACTATACATATATTGTTAATGTATTTAAAATTATGAAAAATCATCTGGATCATGTTATTACAAGATACTTGTTTCGATACATTACAAAATTGTATGATATACTTATATTCTTAAATTATTTAGAAAATATATTCTAGTCTTCATTAACTAACATAGCAAACGACAATACAGATTCCAAAAAATATTTATAGAAAAATTTTATACTTTGTTACCTTACTTATTTATTTAATTAGTAAGTGTATCTTTGGTTTCTGTATGTCGTATATAATGTAAATTTCAGTTTTATTTAAACAATATTGTTTATTGAAAGATGTACAAAAATATGATAAATATTTCTTCAATTATGTATGATGAACATAAAAAATTTATTAAGAAATGTTACACTGTCGACAGTGAGTGAATACCGGATTACTATAACAAAATTGTAAAAAACATTCGTTTATTATTTCCAATAGTTCCGGCACATCGTTGATCGATGAGGCACTGAAAGCATTGACTGAGAAATGACTGATGTTTTTTACTTTAGTAAAAATATTTTTACCAATAAAAAGAGTATAATGTGAAATCATGATTAATATTGCATAAAAATATATATAAAATATCAAAATCTGACAAAATCTACTCAATATGTACTCTATTTATTATTATGATACTTTTATGATATGCAATACTACACATTTGTAGATAAAAAACATTTCCATGAATTCCTTACATCCTCTATTTATTCTAATTTCTTGTTTTAATAATATTATATAAAATTTTAATTTTAATTTTATTCAAATTTGAATATGTAAATAAATATAAAATATTTTTAAAAAATAGGTATAATAAGTATTAAAGAAAATTGCTTATATTTTATTTATTATATTTTAAAAATTATTTCTCTCTTTTAATATATATAGAATGTATTTATGTAAAACTCTAATAAAATTCAATACGGTTATGCAAATATTTTATTAATCATAGACAATAAATATATTATATATATAATTTTTTTAAAAAAATTAAAAAAAATTTTGATTCATTTACAAATTCAACTTTAATACATTAATAGGTTTCATTTTTTCTTCAAATCTTTTCAAAATATTGGTCAAAATACATTATTGCAATTAATTTAGTAGAACAATTCTAAAAAAAAAATATAAAAAGAAAAAGAAGTATAAGATTTTTTTTCTCATAATTTTGTTTATTCAATTACAAAATTCATAATAAATTAAGAAAGAAATTCTGGCATATTTCTTAAAAAATAAATTACGAAATTAATAAAACAATATACTATTAATTTCAATTCTTTATAATTTTATTTTATAATATTTATAATATTCTTTGTAGAATTATCACAAAGCGTTAACGTAAATTAAAATCTTATGAATGGGAAGAATATTATCTACATATGTATAAGATGGCAATCATTCACCTAATCATTATTATAAAATAGAAAATGAAAAAAAATTGACAAAATTAAACAAAATGAAACGAGTTTCATTAATATTAAACAATAAGTATATTTCCGCTTTATTATTATTATTAATTACAATTTTCATCTCGTTTTCCTTATTTTCTTCTTTAATGGTCCATTTGCTTACTATAGGGGCGAAACGGAGGGCGAACACACTTTCTCCTATAGATCTGACAACTGGTGAAAGTATTTCTTACACTTTTATACGTTTAAAACATCCAAATATCTGTTAATCTAATCAATATCACTTTCCTAATAAATAATAATTTTTCTTGAAGAAATAATAATTTATGATGTAATACAAATTATATCGTCATTACGATAAAATTGTTTGATAAGCAAATATATTTATTCGTTAAAACTATATTAATCAATAAAAAAATATATAATTATAAATTATTTTTTAATTATTAAGCATTCGTTAATGGCATTTGTATTATTTTCGACATTTTGCATTGTAAAGAAATGAATATACATATAGTTACTTTAGTTTTTAAAGTTAAACTTTAACCATATGAAAATTAAAGATTTAAGATTA